TCTCAATTTCATTATTTTCTCTCTCATTCATATCAGAGGTGTCATTACTGTATTCAGCATCACAAAAAAATTCCAGATTCTCTTTTTAGAACTAAACAGCATCTACTGGCGTCTGTATGTTGGCTCAACAGTGGAAGAATTGAAACAAATATTTCCTTGAAATCTAAATTGTCCGATTCTGAATAAGTTTGAGTTAAGGATAGAAAAGCTTCTCGAGTGGTACAGATTGAATCTGACGAAGAACTACATGAAGAAGAAGACAATGTTGGCTGAGAACCAGCACCAATTCCTTTGTTGCCCAGGACCTCATTATTATAAGCATTAATATCCTCCTTGTAACTTTCCCAAATATGATTCACTATTATGGATGCTCCCATCTCGTTAAATTGTTCAAAAGCATTTGATAAATATCTTCCTACAACAATATTTTCCATCTCTAAATCTTTGTATATTTCACCCATTCTCCAGTTCACTAATTTTAAAATAAAATGATTTCGTTCTCGAGTGGCCCATTTTAGTGCACTATTGAGAGAAGAAATAACATGTCTTGTATCTTCTATGTGTCCTTTTTGTAAATGTTTACAGAATAGGTGTTCAGCAGTAACCAATTCAAAAGAGCATTTAAAAACTAATGGATTTGTTGTTGATAGCATGTCAAGAGTTTTCAATGAATAATCAATCAGAGTTTTACATCTCGAAAATAGCTCGGGATGATCTACATTGTTTTTTAGGAGGTGGTTTTCGTAAGTGCAAGCAATCAAACCTTGAAAAATAGCATCAATCCAAGTGCTACATAGTCCAATAGAGTCTTCTTTAAACTCATATGATTTTTCCATGCAAAGAAAAGCCTCTTCCCACATCTGTTGAAAGTAACAGCAAATTCCTTTAAACATGTGATGGAGTTGCCTGAAGAAAGGATACTGCAACACATCGCACTTGTATACAGGATTGAATGTTTCAATTTCTCCACTCAATACGCACTTTAGGTCCAATATCATTTGACTGGCATCGCGTAACAACAAATTACCCATGTTGTCAAACAATGAAATAGCCTTCTTGCTCGATTCAATAGATGAACGAATATCGTTGTTAGAGTAGAAAAATGGTGAAGAGAATGCCATAGTATTGAGAATCCACCGAACGTTCTGTGAGTACAATTAATGTCTGCTAAAAAAGCTTCCTCAGTGATACGCCAGACTTCAATTGCATTGACATTTGAATAAAGAAAATAACCCAACACTTTTGGCAGTAGACATGCAGAGAGGACTTGATTGTTATCTTTGTACCTATTTCTAGCCAATTCTATCGCTGTATCAATAAACAAAGTCATTTTGGGATAGAGATCTATCGTATTCCAATACCACCCCAAACTGGACAAGACCATTGAGCAGAGAGGACATAGGCCTTTAGTTAACACCATTTCTGATGCTAACAATAAAATGATCATGGCCATACACTTGCTTGATGCGTTTTTGTTTTCGTCATACGACTTCATGAGAAATAATGCAGGTGCAGATATTCCTAGAATGTTCACAATATAGATCTGTTCGGCATCTGTTAAATCTGGCAATTCCAAAATATCGTATTTAGACGTTATTTTGTCAATAATATTCAATTTAAAGTGATGCATTTTGTCGGATATCCAAATTTTAAGGAGCTCAATGTTCGGATTACATGATAAAAACTTGAGCTCGTCACAAGTTGGAAATAGGTGATGTTTCAGAATCTCGAATACATCCTCATAATTTCCTTGAGAAACGTGTACCATAATAGAGTAGTAGCACGCTTCAAATAGATGAAGTCTATTCTTTGATTTGTCAATTGCTTGATTGAAGAGAGAAGCGGCAGATATTAAATTTGTTTCATATTCACAATTGCCTTCCAAAATTAAAAGTTTAAATGCAATATCATATGAATCATTCCAAACATCTATTGTTCCATAATGAAGGATTCTTTTTGCAATGCTCACAAAATTTCGTGCCTGTTCTATGGCACCGCTGTTGATAGCTTTTGACGCAGCTAGGGCATTTAGTTGTAAAAGCATGTTTCTTTTGGATTTTTTGTTTAAAAGGGTGTTATCATTTGCTCTGTAATTTAGATGAGCAATAATGTCAAAGATGTGATCTTCCAACACCGCTTGACTATTCTCTATTTTTCTTAATAACCGTTTTCCGTACACGTAGTGAATTAACATCTTTTTCTTTTCCTTTAAAGATTGATTGGCAGCTTGTTGCAAGCGATCGTGGTTAAACTGCAAAACTTTAGAGTCCACATAACTAAGCCAGCCCTCTTTGATGGCATTATCAATTGTTTCTTTCAAATCAATAATCGAAAACTCATTAATTTTGATGTTCAGTAAGTCTCTGAGCTCATTAAAAGCAAATCGTGATCCAATACATGATGCAAAGGCCAATACTTTTTTTGTTGTTAGGTTCATAATGGCAAATTTTTGCAAGAGAAAATCCACTACATTTTGGGTGTAGTGCACTTTTTGAATTTCATCAAGATTCCATGAAAGCAATTTCAATGAATTGTTGAAAAAAATTTTTCCTGATTTGTAAAGAGACACTAGAAGTTGTTTCAAATAAAAGGGATTTCCGCGTGTCTTCTCAAACAGTATCCTTGTAAGGCTAATTGTCTCGTAAAGGGAGCGCTTCAATGATGATGCGACCATTGAATTGCAATCTTCGAGTGAAAGCTCAGAAAGTACAATCTCAGTGATATTGGAAGCCTTCGGTTTTACGTATTTAAGAAAATTTCCGAGTGGGGTGTTTTCTTTAATCTCACGGTTTCTATATACTCCAATTAATAGAAAGGGAAAAGTTTCACAGGTTCCCAATCCAAGAATTTCTTTTACCAAGTTGATACTTTCATAATCTGTCCACTGTAGATTATCTAAAAAAATACACAAAGGTTTGTTTTTCAAATTCCTATAGATTTGGAGTAAATGAATCACTAAATTATATTTGTTTTTCAACTCTTGTGCATCATAAAAAAGGTAAATAATTACCTGATTGTGAAAATGATTTCACTGCTTCACCATGTTCTTTATACCTAATGGCTATCTGTGCGCGTTTTGTAGATTGTTTTGGAGTACTAAAAAAGAGCAAATTAAGATTGGGAATTGTCTCACATAGTGCCTCTATTTGAGTACTTTCAAGCAAAGAAGTCAACCGCATTTTAAAATCAGATATTATGTGTTCCGGTTCTCCTAAAATATCTTCAATTATAGAATTCATTTTTGAAGTTAAAGCAAAAAAAAGGTACGTTGTGAGATTGGTCATATTTAGTCTCAATAAAGCAAACATCTTGTTTGAACTTATTTCTGAACTCTCTTACAACACATGATTTACCTTAATAATAATGTCATGAGTATGTGGCAACGGTATTCACAGACTTACCAACTCCACTATATCCACTTATTAACAATGCTTTGGGTTGCTTATAATCGCGTACTTCATTCAGCGTGCAAGTCATAGCATCTATCACATTCTGTCTTCCATAAACAACAAAAGGAATGGTCAGATTTGTTTGAATATCACGTTCTCCGGCAATGAAGTCTCTTAGGAAAGACATGTCATTGGTCTGTAGGCATTTTAAAATTAGTAGCAGGTCTTGCTTAACTCCCTCAAAATTCATATATCTTTTGTCTATAGCTTTTTGCACCATTTTAGTGACTACTGCAGATACTGCGCTCATTAATTTTGCGTATAAAGATGTTTCGTCCATTATTAAGCCCCTTCTTTTAAGATTATTATAAAGAACCTCCGGTTGATGAGTTATGTGAGAGAATATATATTCAGAATTTGCCTTATTGCTACCGAATGGATGCTCTTTTGCCAACATCTCATAGAGCATAAATCCAAAGCTGTAAATATCAGAATGAAATCCAATAGGTTTCGAAATCTTTCCAGTTGCTTCAGGAGACATGTATGGAAAATAACCTATAGGTTTGTCTGAATATACAAAGGGATTGTCTAATGATAAAAAACAACCCATTCCAAAATCAATAATTTTTACGGTTGAATGATGTGTGTCAATTATGAGATTTTCAGGGCGCAAGTCAAGATGACAAACACGTAATGAATGTATTTGACTAAGAGAATCACATGCCTTAATTGAAATATCAAGAATGTCGTGCAATTCTTTGCATAGGGTTAAGTGATAAGTAAATAAAGAGAGGTTTTCCAACTTGTTACAAATTTCGCCCCACTCTTTGAAATAATCTCGAAAAGACCTTCCAACTACAAGTTCTCGTACCAGTATAAAATAGTCGCTTAGATATGTGAATATTTTGGGTACAATGTCATTATTTGGTAGAGAATTATTCAAGTAATTGCATATCGAGACTTCTCTTTCCAGTTGAGTAACGGATGGTGTACTGAGTGCAATTTTTAGACAATAAACAGTGTTGAAATCCAAAGGAAGTGCAATAGCACCTCTGTAATGTTGTGGTGTGTAATGACAAGTGATCACTCTTGAAGAAAGCTTGCCGTAATGAATAACCGAAGATGGAAACCCTTCAACTACACAGGGTGTAAAGAAAGCGGGCAAAATAGTATCGGTTATTTTCTCGAAACTAGTACTCTTGTGAAATGGAGAGGAATGTTTAGAGGTTGAACTGCTCGATGATGGCCCATGATCTTTTCTCTGTTCCTCTGTGCTTTCTGTTTGAGCAGCATACTCTTGTGGCGAGTATTGGTGATGATGATCACTGGTCAATCTTGACATAGTTTTTTAGCAGGCTCATCATTTGAGAATTAAATCTCAAAAAGAACTTCATGATGTAATTTTCCCTTTTGAACCAAACCTTATAAATTTGTCAATAAGAGCCTTTCAGTTACTTTTTGTTCCAAATATCAAACTTTACAGAATCGGGAATTTCCCAAATATGTAATAATTTAGAACAATCAACGAGAAATTATTCATGAAGATGCTTTTTCGGTAAATAAGAGACGATAAATCAAAATTACAAATCGAAATTTTACCCGAAATTTGATATCACATTCTTGGAAAATCGTTATTAGGAAGTGTGTTAAACTGGTAATTTGAGGTTGTCATGTCGGGTGAGATGAATGGTTTCGTGCACTACAACATGAAAGGCAATGACGGATTAAAAAAAGTATCACCATACAGAATATCTGTTCATCCGATAGCATGACATAAATTCATGATAATTGTTGAACCGAGTATTGAAGTGTGCATGAGCTCCGAAAAACAACTACGTCAATGCGGTGCTGATTAAATTTCATCAAATGAAGAAATATTTTTTGTTTTCTGATAAAAAAGAATTTTGCATGATGAATTTAAATTGTTTTCAAACATTTACATTACCACACAATTTCTTCCATTTGGACTCAACAGTTAAGATTGTTTTTACAATACATGAGAATTTCTTTTGCCACATCAATACCCGTTGCCAATTCAAAACCTTCAAAGCCTGGAGAAGAATTCACTTCACATATCTTATGGGAATCTCCGTCAAACAAAATGTCCACTCCTGCAATGTCTAAACAACAAGCTTTGGCACTCTCTACTGCCAACAATTCCAATTCAAGTGTCAACTGCACTGGTTCCACTCTTCCTCCTTGATGGAAATTTGATTTAAATCCCTTATTTGCAATTCTTTTCATTGCTCCAATAGCTCTTCCACCAATCACGATGACTCGAATGTCCTTTCCAGAGGAGTCTTTAATGAACTCTTGAATTAATAATTGGGTATTTGGATCGACCAATTCAGCAATGTCGGCCAGTTGAGCGTTGTCTTGAACCAACATGACACCATTTCCTTGAGATCCTGATGCTTTCTTGAAAATGAGAGGGAAAGCAAAGGAGTTTTCAATCTTTTGGATATCCAGTGGAAATTTTGCAATGCATGTTTTTGGAACTGGAATGTTCTTAGCCACCAGTCGTTGCATGGTAAAGAATTTATCTCGAGCAACTTCAATGGAAGATGAGGTGTTAAGGATGAGAGGTCTCAGTGGAGATGGAATTCCTTCCAGATAACGAAGAACAGCCAATCCATAATAATTAATTTTTGCGCCCAATCTTGGAATGACCACTTGTGGAAGATCAATGGAAGTACCATCATATAAGAGATTGGAGCTGCCTTTGTGGACGACAAATTCAAATCTTCCAATTTCCATTAATTTGACCTGAATGTTTGCTTTCCAAGCACATTCAAAAATTCTTTTTTGTGAGTACAGATATTTAACCTCCTTACAGAGAATCCAAACAGTGAATTGAGGATTTTCGAGTTTCATTTGATAGAAGGCCGGATCTTGAGCATTGTGAAAGAGAATTTCGTTGTCACCAATGAGGGTTGGCTGTAAGTTATGGACGGAGAAGGTTCTTGGAACAAGGATGGAGGTTTTTTCCTCTGGTTGTGTTGAATCGAAGGTCTTTCGAATTGCAGAAACTTCGGTAAACTCTTGGTAAAACGATGCAGACATTTTCTTGTCGAATTTTTGATTTGGGGTCGGCAAACAACCGGAAACTTTGATTTAAAAGAATTTGGAAGTGAACCTCTTATCGGCAATCATACCATTTTAAGGATAATCCCCTCGACAGTTAACAGAAAGGAGAAGGGGGAAGAATAAGTGTTAGAAGTTAAAATCTACGCTGGTGATACTGGAATTTCGCAATTCGAAGACCTAAATTTGGAAATAGCTCAAATTGGTGTTACATGCAATTGGGAAGGATTTTCATTGGAGATATGGATCTCAACTTTCGCACGAGACAATATTTGAACATTAAGGTTGATCACCAAAACCCTTATTCTGTTCAGACAGATCTTGAATGAATTCGAATTTATTATATTATTCATCAAAAATTCCAATTAACATGTGCAGACTAATTTTTAAGAGAACGCAAATTTATAATGTAATGTATTATATAATATTTATCATTCATCGAATAATTCTTGCTGAAGGATCTTATCTTGATTTAATTTTTCAAACAACGCCTTGTCAAATTTGCTATTTGTGGAGTTGCAAATAGAAATGGCAAGCTTGTCAATAGCAACGTTCGCCAATACTGATTGAACAAACGCTTCAATCAAGTTGTCCAAAGTTAATCCTAATGTTGGAAAATCAATTTCATCACAAGTAATTAATCTTGACTGATCCGTGTCCCAACTACCTTTTTCA